AGGACATTCGCTTTGTCATGAAAGATCCAAGAAGCCAGATCCAAAAATTGAGTCAGTGCTTTCTAGAAAAAGACAGGTGGATTATGGGATATAGAGATGGCACAGTGTGCATGGGCTTGTTTGGATGTGTGTTTATTCAGCTGTGTTGGTAGGTACACACACACCTCCACACGCACTTGTATTAAAAATTATTGGTCAATAGAAGTGGATAACCAACTTCCTGTATGCAAAGTATTGAAAATCCAGGTTACACAATAGCCTGTAGTATGAACACAGAAACATGTGTGCATACACTTGCAAATGTGCAAACACGCACGCTCAGATACACACAAAAATGCCATTCCTGGCTGCAAGCAAAAATCTCTGCCAAATTTCAGGGATCAGATGAGCTTATATGGCTTCAGTGTGACCTACTTCCACCCAAAAACACACAAAAAGTTAACTTTTCTTAATTATTTGCTTAATATGCTTATGTAATACATATTCTTTACGACTAACAAAAATGCTTACGACAGCTAGCGAATTTAGTAAATGCTCCTAGAGACTGTAGTAAATATAAATATACAATTTGAGCATAAAACCTTTATAGCTAAAATTGTCCACAGAAAGCAAAAACAGCGCTCGGAATGAACAAGAAACTGGTAAGAGTTTTAAAACAGAGAAAACAAGTTATTTAGAGCTAAATATGCTAGCTAGCTAGTTAAAGGAAAGTAATTAGGATTTAGGATTAATTCAACATAAATTAACATTCATGAAAAAAACATCTGTTAAGATTCTAAGTGTGTGACACTTTGCTATCCCATAAAGCCACAGGAGCTGAGGAAAAATACATAATAGCACAGAGCTAATGGCTTCTCTTTTCAAATGTAAGTGCTATAGCCTATAGGCAATAAAGATGTCATTCTTTGTGGTAAAATTGTAGTTTTTGCCGTTGTTATTGGTACAGTATTAGTCAAAGTACAATGCCAACATGATGGATGCTAATTGACATGTCTGCTTACCTAACTTTCTTCCTCAAATTTTGTACATGCTCAAAGTATGCAATACTTCACAAAAAAGAG